GTTGCTCTAATTAGCTTATGGTAACAACGTTTAGATGAAACGAAAGATAAATTTTAATTACTGAGTGATTTTTCAAAAAATATTTAAATATAGAGTAAAAAGTATTTCAAAGCTGCATTGAAAAACATTTAAATCTACAACTTTATTTTTTAAAATTATTTCCACAAATAATTATTAATTACTATTACTGAAAACTTATTTTTTTTCTTTAATATTTTGTATCCATTTTAATAATATAATTAATAGAAATGTAAAAACTTTATTTTCTTTGTATTATTTTGAATAATTACCGGTACTATTTAGTTATCAATAATACCACATTTTTCACCCATGGCGGTTGCATTTTTAAGTGCTGTAAAAATTATTTCGATGAATAGCATTATGTTTATAACTAGTCGAAATGATTTCAAAATAAACTTTGGAAGCTCAAGTTTTGTGGCGCATTTGAACTCTTTTATTTGATTTGTTTTACCTTTGATTATCAAGCATTAGCCATATATATATATATATATATATATTCTGTTTATGCAGCAGAGTCCCACCTCCTCCCGCAGCAGGGATCGAGTGTCGAGGCTGGGGCGAGCCTTTCTAAAGCACTTGCAATTCCATAAGAGTCGACCTATGGCTGCACTGGCCTCTCTCACTCACCGTTTGTCGTCGAGCGAGAATCCGAGGAAAGGTTTGACCCTTTTGGACAAGTCTTGCAGCATGCCCGCCATTGTGCCTCGACTACCACGATCCAGATCCAACCACCACAGGCAACAAAGCAGCACCTCCGGAAGCACCTCATCACTTGGGTGAGTAGCTCCCAAGTTAAAATGTTTTAATTCTACGCCTTCCTTTTTCTTTAATTCCATCTCATTATTTAGAGCTGTAGCAGAATTTACTTGAACCCTTTCCGATGATCCTCCCTTCCTACCAGAAATATACTTCTCTCAAAGAGGATTATTATTTGATTTCTTTGAGAATTAAATTATTATTAACTGAATCACCAAATGTATCAACATCTCATGAATAGAATATTGCTTATTTAAACAATTAGATTAAAGACTTCTTATGGATATCTATTTTTACGCATCTTCTTTTAAACAAGATTAATGAACCAATTAAGTAAAAAAAATATATTGAAATCACCACTTGCTGATTTTAAATGGGAAAATAAAGTTAAAGTATTCCCTTTTATTTTCTTTCCGATTACATCCTACTTTCACTGTTCTAGTCTGCAGTTTCGAACGCATTATTAAACATCACTTACGATAGTTTGTCTCCCTTTCGTTTCCCAGAATTCCTTCTTCGTGTGCAAACAGAGACTCCCTTCCAGCTAATGGGATCAGTCAACTATCAATTCTCAGTTTGAATACCGGTCATTTAATGGAGCTTTTGACGAAATGTCCGATCAATCTTTCGAATAGTTTTTAAGCCATTTGTCATGCGAAGATGTTTTAATTTTGTTTGACAGAGGAACAGCTCATTTTTTCTCGTCATCGTTCCTTTTTCAAAATGGCTACGGATATCAATTCTAATTGCGCATTTAAATATTTATAGGAGTTTTCTAAGATAGGGAAACGAATGAATTTTGTGCCTCTCACACTGAATTGATAGAATTTTGTCAGTTAAAAATTTGCACACAATAGTGTTTTGTCTTCCAATGCTATTTATTGTGTGGCAGAAGCGTTACAGTAACATTACAGAAACGTTAGCAGCATGCTGAGACACTAAATTGATAGATTTTGTCAATTAAAAATTGCACACAATAGTGTTTTCTCCTCCAATGCTTTTTATTGTGTGGCAGAAACGTTACAGTAACATTACAGAAACATTAGCAGTATGTTTAGACGCTAAATTGATAGATTTTGTCAATTAAAAATTGCACACAATAGTGTTTTGTCCTCAAATACTTTTTATTGTGTTTCAGAAACATTACAGTAACATTACAGAAACATTAACAGTATGTTGAGACAGGTTGTCAGATATTTTTCTTAAAAAATAATCATGGCAAATATATCACGGAACTTAATAAATGAGATACGCATTCTTTGGGTTCAGTAACGTGATTCTAGTCTTATTAAAACCCGATAAGTAATTTGAAGGTATTAATTGAAAATAAAGGGCCATGATAGCCCGGTTGGTACGGCGCTGGGCCCATGTCCGAGAGTTCGTGGGTTCGAACCGCGCCGGCCGAAGATTCCCCGTGTAGTAAAATGGTGACTGTTGCACGTTAAATCTGTCTCTCCAGGCTCCCATAACAAATCGAACCTCTGGGGGTACTGAATTGGAGATGGATCGTTCTCTGATTCAGGTCAAAATTACGATCTGCGGATGAATGGATGGGTCCGCCCTATAAACGGGAGTGACGTATGGGTGTGTACACTGATACCTAAATCAGTAGTATATCCACTTGCTTTTAAGATAATAGTTCAAAATATAGTCGATAGCCTTATAAAATCCTCAAAGCAGTTTTTGTTTCGGATGATAAAAAATTTTTTTTTGCCGTGTTTAGCATATATGCAAAAAAAGGCGTTCTTTTTTTTTTCTTCCTGAAAATGGCCTTATAAAAAGACAAATAATAATAATGATAATTGCTTTTGCTAGTTTTATAAGTTTTTACAGATAATAACTAGATAATAACAAGATAATAACTAGAAAAAACAAATAAGCTACTGTTTTAAAATTTTATATTAATATTGCAAATAAAGCTGTCGAAACTAGTTGAATACCTTAAGTAAAACAAGTGTCGGTAGCATGTAGTGATGTCTATACCTTTATTCAAACATAGAATTTCGGAGTGCACTGCAGTTCATTAAGAAATCCCTGATAAACATTTTACTTATACAATTTTAAATAATCCTGCATTTTTTTTTAAAAAAGTTTTTTGATACTATTGTATCATAATATATACGAAAAATTTTCAAATATATGTCTTAAAATAATTTAAAAAAAATAGAATATTTTATTTTTAAAAAATCAAACGTTTCACACTTTTAAATGAACAATTTTCATTTATTTTAAATAAAAAACACCTAACAGACAGATTGTAGGAATATTGCTACAGGGAAGCGAACATATTTTTTTGAATTTTGTTAAGAATAAAGGCATTCGGAAATAGATATTAAAAATATTTTAAATTAAAAATACACTTTTTTTTAAAAAGTTTTATTAAAAAATTATAATTCACTAAAATGTATTTTTCCCCTTCATTATATGTAGACCCATTAAAGCAAAATATAATATATATATTTAGCAAATTTTATATATTTAATATATATATTTAACGTATGTATATGTATTAATATATATATATTATATATATGTATTATATTTCATATTTTAATAGGTATATTATATATTTTATATAATATTTAATGCATGTGAATTTTATATATTTAATATTATATTTAATATACATATTTAACGAACTTTCAAATAGCGAAGTGAATTTTCTATTTAACGAATTTTTCTTTGAGATTCACTTTCCCTATTTCCCACTTCCCTATTTAACTTCCACTTTCCCTATTTAAAATTACTTTGCAGTTATAATTTTATACAGCAGATAAATACAGTCAAAATTTTATGCATAAACTTAGCTGTTTTTAGTGGAAAATGTATGTCGCATGATAGTGTAACACTGGATAATGTTTTGCTCTATTCTTGTTTTCCATGTAGATTTCTTTTATGGCTAAGATTTAAAAAATAAATAGTAGATACTAGATTACAAGATAAAGGTGTATCAATTGATTTTTTTAATTATGTCTAGGGTTTATGAATTTAAAACCTGTTTTGTGCTGCTTAAACATTTTAAATGGTGATTTTCTATTTAACGAATTTTCCATATAACGAACTTATCGGGATTTAGCAACTTCGTTAAATGGAGGTTCGACTGTGTGTATATATATATTTTTTTTTCTTTCTTTTTTTTAAACTGCCCTGGGATTATTTATTTTTATATTTTTAAAATATTTCATTTAAGACGTGAAAAAAATGAAAAAACACGTACACGGGGAGGGAAAAAAAATATTCAACCAGTTTTATTTTGTTTGTTAAAAATGTTTGAGAGATGATAAAATGAAGTCGTAATATATTATAGGTCAGAGCCGAGTAAATCTCTGCCCAGAATCACGAGATCTCAGTACAATATTCGATGCCCGAATGCGGGATCAGATGCTGATTCCATGTCCCGCATCTCTCTCTACCTGGAAGAACGACGACTTATCCTCAACGCTGCAAGGGAAGGACAATTGGTAGATCTCACACCAGACGATACTCCTCCCAGAAGGGTGGAGTTCTATCGAAGGAGAAGTCCCTCACCCAAACCTAAGAATGATCCATACGGAAGAAGATTACCTCTCACCCCTCAAGGTACGCAATAATGGAAGATGAGTAAATATTTTAACAAGTGTAAAAAAATATTTTTGAAAAATGATGAAATAAAGGGCAAATTTTTCACTTTGTTTTTGCAGGGATTGTTTGTATAAAATATGTCAAATAGAATCAATTTAAATTAATTATTACAAATAACAAATAACTTTTTATGTATTATTTTAAATATAATTTCCTAAATAAATTAAAAAAATTTATAAAAGATTAAATGTTTTATTAAAAAAAAAAATTTTCAGAACTTTTTCAGTCTTTTTATTCTTTAATGCTATTTCCTTTTTCCTCTATGAAAAACTCTTAGCCGACCGGACTGTGCAAGGGTCAGGAAACTGGCTTTGAGTCGGAAAGGTTCTGAATTCGAATCCCGGGCAAGGCATGGATGTTCTTTCATTCTCTGTACTACCTGTCCTTACTGTGGGAGCAGCGTTGGCCTACCTAATACCGTGCCCCTGAAAAGAGTGGCCGACAAATCTGCCCTGTAAAAGGCCTAAATCGGCGAAATATTAGCACTGGTGGGCATTTGAAATTAAAAAAAAAATGAAAGAGTCTTTTTTAATTTTAGCAAGGATTGTTGACTGGTATTGAACACGTAGGAAATAACTTATTAATAATATTACTAACATTTTTGAAAATTATTTTAATATGAAAAAAAAATCATTTACTTATAAAATTGTTATGTTAAACAATTTTAATTATTTATGACAAATCAACAATTTTTAAAGAAAATTCTGTATCCCTTCTAACAAACTAATGTCATTTTTAAAAGTTAATAAGGTAATAAGAAAATTAAATCACGCTTTGTAAGGCATGAATTCGTTTGTTAGTGCTAAAAAATGATGCTAATAGCAGTTCATACTAGCATTTCTTAAAGCGATACCGCTGCTATGAATTTTGAAACATAAAATAGCAACTGAATAAATAGTGATACACGTTTCAAAGTCCAAATCACATAGTAGTTCACACTCTCATTGTATATATTTATATAGTCAATTCGCTATAACTCGAATATTACTATAACTCGATTTTTTTATGAGGTCCCGACCCTTTTATCTTCAATTTCATGTTAATTATTCTCGATTACTCGAATTTTACTCCCTTTAACTCGATTTTTTTGGGATCTTCTGAAGCAAGAAAAAAAACCTAGGAGCTGATATCTTGTCCCTTCCTTTGCATCACACACACAATGTCTTTCGCACTCTTCATGGAGAAGCTAAAGCTGTCCCTCTTGAAGTATGTGAACAGTGGTTAAATGAAACGTTACCAAATTTACTTCAAGGATACAGTTAAAATGATGTTTTCAATATTGATGAAATGGGTTTATTTTTTAAATGTCTTCCAAATAAGACTATGATGTTTAAGAATGAAAACTGCTCAGGGGGTAAAATGAGCAAGGAACGTTTGACTGTCCTAGTTGAGGGAAATGCGTCTGGGACAGAGAAATTGCCCTTACTTGTTATCGGAAAATACCGAAATCCCCGATGTTTCAAGAATGTAAAAACGTATCCTTTGGATTACAAGTCTAACAAAAAGTTTTGGATGACATCAGTTTTATTTGAAGACAATGTAAGAAAATTGGATCGGAAATTCTTCGCTAAAAAAAAAGTGATACTCTTTATGGATCAATGCACAGCGCATAGTGATCTACCTAATTTGAAAGCAGTAAACTTGCAGTTTCTCCCGCGAAACACAACAGCAAAGTTGCAGCCGATGGACCAGGGTATCATAAAGTGCTTCAAACAGATCTTATCGCAAATGGCTTGTCAGAAAAATGATCTTAAATATTGTAAGCATTTAGAAGATTTGTAATTAATAAGCATTAATTAAATAATGCGACAATATTTCGAAAGTCCAAAACCGAAACTAGCGGTAAGTCGAACTTCCGCTATGTCGAAGTTTTTCGTTAGTCCTATCAGATTCGAGTTATCGCGAATTCACTGTAGTTATATATCTTGTTCAAATTTTCAATCGTTAATAAAATACTTTTAATTCATCCCTTCTTTTTTTTAAACTTGTAGTGAATGAAAATTTATGTTAATACAGTTTTTTCAAATATTAATTCATTAATTAAATTTAATTAATGAATTTTAGTTTTATATGGGAGAAAAATTTTTAATTATTTAATAAAAAAGTAACTAAAATATAAATTTTTGTTTGTTGACCCCAGTAGGAATTGACTCTAAATTTTTTTTTTTATATTACTTGCTTTGATATTTTTTCGTGTCTCCTTATTTGACCTTTTCCGCATTAGGTGACAAAGTTTGCCCGGTCACAGGGAGAGGTTTCAATGGTCTCTCCTAAAGCTTTTCTCCGATTCAAATTCCATGGAAAAAATTCCGTGCCTCCCTAAAGAACTTAACCACCTCCGTAAATAGTCTTTCTTGGAGGTTTCACTATATATTTCTATCATCATCAAAAATCCTCCTATTTCGAAAGTTATTACGCCTTAAGAAGTTTCGCTTTTGGTTTTAAAAAAAAACTATTTTATCCTTTTTAATCCACTTTACAAACGTAGTTTGTAAATATTTATTTAATTTAAGACAAAAAAATGTGAATAAGAAATGAAATAAGCTAATCATTTTGAATTTCAGAAGCTTTGACCTATTATGCAGGTCGCCTAAATAAATATGAACGAGCAGAAGTAGCTCAGTACCCTCAAGTACGCCTTTAGGAGTTTTGCTTTTGGTTTTTTAAAAAAAAACTATTTTATCCTTTTTTATCCACTTTACAAACGTAGTCTGTAAAATTTTTATCATTTTGAATTTCAGAAGCCTTGACCTATTACGCAGGCCGCTTAAATAAATATGAGCGAGCAGAAGTGGCTCAGTACCCTCAAGTGTGGTACCTAGGACTGGATGCGAGCAAGATAGAGGGGGAGCTAAGGGGAGCCCAGAACTGTGGATACGATGATGACAATGGATCTTATATTAAGGTAATTTGGTTTTTTCAAAAGCAAAAATACTGATGTCATAAAATTGATATAAGTCATAAAGTTATGAAAGCCATTATTAAATAAATCCTGAACGGTTTAATAAATGAATGTAATAAAAAAAGAAAGAAATTATTAACTCGCAGCTGAAATGAGGACAATTTTTCATTCTTTCTTGAATAGAATAACAAATAATTTAGTAATTGGGAAATCTCGTCGAAAACAGGAAAGAAATAAAACACGTATTTCTGAGAATCGTGCTTTGAAATATAAATATAGTTTCAGTAGTTGAACATTTAAAAAAGAAGGAATAAAAAACTACTTATAATAAAAATTTTAGTGAAATTATTTAAAATATCTTTATGTGTTGATTCCAAAACGTGAACAATAATAAATTAGATACGCGCATACTAAACGTGACTTTATGCCTGATGTTTCCAGTTAATAAGCATAAAAATTATTGATAATTCAATAAATGAAATAAAACCGTCATATAAACAAATGATATATTAATGATTTTTTTAAACTACTATTGAAACATCTCAGTTTGAATTAATTTAAACCTTTTTATCTAGCAGCATCGAAGGGTTTTTGTAAGAGCTTCATTATCTTTCGTCCCTTCGAAGTTTTGAAATTTTATGTCGAGATATTTTTCTATTTTCTATTTTATTATGAGCCGCGGTGGCTCAGGGGAAAGAGCGTTCGCCTTCCAATGAGGTGAACCGGGTTCGAATCTCAGCGATGGCTGGTAGATTCGAATTCTGCATCCGACTTGCACCGACCACAGGGCTGACTTAAAATACCCTCAGGCGAATCATGGGTTAGAGTTCTCTTACAGTCAGGCTAACCGTGGGAGGCTTTCGTGGTCTTCCTTACAATGTAACGCAAATGCCGCCTAGTTCCATCAAAAATCCTCCACGACGGCAAATTTCTCCCAATTCTTCATCCATGATAAAGTGATCCCTGCCGACCGAAGACTCCCCGTGTTGTAAATGGTGACTGATGCGAGTTAAATCTGTCGGGTCACAAAGTCCATAACAAATCAAAACCTCTTGGGGTACTGATCCAGGAACTCCCTTGTCTTCTGGATTAGGATCAAAAGGATACGGAGTTGAACATTGACAGACGTAAACCCAGAATTGGGTCTGTTGTTTGACGACGGTTATAAAATAAAATAAAATACTTGATCCAGGAGTTCCCTCGTCCTCTGGATTGGGTTCAAAATTACAAGGCTACGGAGTTGAACATTAGCTGTCGTGAAATTAAAAAATTGGACCGGGTGTTCAACGACGGTTGTAAAATTAAATAAAACACCTATAATTGCCGGGAAAATCAATTTTCATTGCGTTAACAAAAGCGGATTGTATTATGATTGTCTAATGAGATGGTTATTTGTTTGATTGAAGGTGCTACACGACCACATAGCTTACAGGTATGAAATTCTGGAAGTAATCGGCAAGGGATCTTTCGGACAAGTAATACGAGCACTGGATCACAGGACGGACCAGCAAGTGGCATTGAAAATAATTAGGAACAAGAAAAGGTATCTTTATTAAGTCATAATGGTTTTGCCTCTATAGAAATGTTTTTGAAAAAGAATGATTAAGAAATTATGGTTTTCTTTGGCAATGAAATCTAAAAGGAACTGCTATGGAATTTGAAAATTTGTAAATAGAGAAACATATTTTCTTGCTGATGAATTTATTTATTTTATTTTTATTCGAAAAGCGTGATTAGAAGTACTCATACAATATTTTAAAAATACATGCCTTTTTCATAATTCATTCAATATAAAGTTATTGGAAAAATTATAAATGTTTTTTTTTAAAACGATAATTGCCGTTTTACTTTAAATGATCTCATAAAGGCAGCCGAAATTTCAAATAAATAATGTATTATTGGTTGGATTAGAGCAGGGATGGGCAAACGTTTTAGGTCGAGGGGCCAAAAATCGAAAAAGAAAAGTTTGGTGGGCAATGTAAAAATTTCTAAAATAAAGAAACACTATACAAGTTTTAATTAAAAAATTTAATGAAATGAATAAAATTGTGATTTCATTTCTAAAAGTTCCTTGTATTGAGGTTCGAAGTGAGATGTACTTATTTTTAGGAAAGAGGCTAAATGTTTGTCTGTTAGTCTACTTCTGAAATTATTTTTTCTAAGGTTCATAGTTGAAAGCACTTGTTCACATATATAAGATGAATCAAACATAGCACTTATTTTCTGGGCATGAGATATAAAATTTGGGAAAATAGCTTTTGGTAATGATTTGTAAAACTCAAACTTTAGCACATTTAGAAACAGCTGCATGAGATGATTTTTAGATTTCAACTCAATGAATTCAAGCTGCAAATCCAACCTCGCTGTTTCACAATTTACGTTAAAATACATGATAAAAATATCTAATTCTATTGCAATGGCACTGAAATATTGATACCCGAAACTAAAAATGGAGTTTTCTCAAGCTATTTTCATAATTCTTAAGCTTTTCCTTATTTACTGAGGGTATTGAATTTAACCTCGAGAAATGAGACAAGCCGTTCTTTGCTAGCTGCCCGGCAAACAAATAAAGCTTCAGTTTGAAAGCTTTGAGATGGGCCCAGATATCATCAATGAATTGATTTTTCCCTGGCATCTTAACGTTCAAGTTGTTCATGTGATAAAGAAGATCTGTTAAAAATGCCATTCTGTATCTTCGAATATAAAATGGATGTATAATGCGTGTGTAACTATGTGTAACTATGTATATAACTATGTGTTTATATTCGTAACGCATCGGCAAGTTAAAATTCTATCCGCGGGCCGGATAAGACCTTCCGGCTGGCCACAGTTCTCCCGCGGGCCGTAGTTTGCCCATCCATGGATTAGAGGTTCCAAAAATCATCACTGGTTTAAAAAAAATTCTAATCCATGGCACTCCTTTCACAGAACTCTGGGGTTCCACGGAATTCCTTCCACTTTTCCACAGACCTTTGGGGTTCCACAGAAGTCCTTTCACTCTTCCACAGAACTGTGGGGTTCCACGGAACTTCTTTCACTCTTCCACAGAACTCTGGGGTTCCACGGAACATCAGTTTTGAACAGCTATTCTATGCGACATGCCGTAGAGCACGTCCGCATTGCGTCTCAGAGACTAGTCGATGTTGTGCACCAGACTCCTCCCAATAATTCGATCATTTTCTTTTAATTGTTACTTTTATTTTGTATTATATTTCCCTTTTGTTATTGAACCAGAGCAGGTTTGCGTGCAATTTTAAGAAGACTTTCTTCATAGGTTTCATCAGCAAGCACTGGTAGAAGTCAAGATATTGGAACAGGTGACAAAGAAGGACAGAGACGGATTTTTCAATGTTATTCACATGCTGGATCATTTTTACTTCAGGAACCACCTCTGCATCACTTTTGAACTCATGGGGTCTGTATATGTATATATTTTGTTGAAGCATTGCCGGTTAATCTATGAAATAGATGTTTCGTCTCATACGATTTTAGTGGAAACTTTTTTTAAAGAAAAGAACAACACGTTTAGCTAACATTTGAGCTTATTTGAACTTTTATTATATACATGCGCACAGTAAAAATTTTCATTTAAAACACCCATATAAACCACATTTTGTGCTGCCATCTAGTAGAATTTTCGGAGTATCCAAATGGCAACTAGGAATAATTTAATGCAAGAAAAAGCGTCTGTTATCATCAATTTGAAATTAAATTTATTGAGCCAAGAACCTCCGGTTAAAATCATCGTTAGTTGCTACACACATTGCATTGCAGATGAAGCAATTGCTTTTTTATATTTATTTTAGTATGTTGAACCTCTTTATTCATTTAAAAAAATCGAAGGTGTCTCTTAGTTTTATAAAACTAGAATTTAAAACTTAACCTTAATAATAAGAAACAAGAATATAATAAGAATAAGGAATAATTAGAAACCGAAATCAATGTAATTTAAAACAAGCATGAGCACTTGTTTTTCATATATTAGTTCAAAATTTATATCTGTGTGTTCAGTATAATATTATTTAGTACAGTCATGATATAGCACAGAGTCTAACAGAAGCCTACGTATTTCAGGTGCAATTTATTGGAGTTAATTAAAAAGAATCAGTACCAATCTAGCGAATATTTAAATTTATTTCTCTGCGTTAAGTATAATATTATTTAGTACAGTGATGGTATAGCACAGAGTCTAACAGAAGCTTACGTATTTCAGGTGCAATTTATTGGAGTTAATTAAAAAGAATCAGTTCCAATCTAGTGAATATTTAAATTTATTTCTGCGTGTGCTCAGTTTAATCTTATTTAGTACAGTGATGATATAGCACAGAGTCTAACAGAAGCCTACGTATTTCAGGTGCAATTTATTGGAGTAAATTAAAAATAATCAGTGCCAATCTGGTGAATATTTAAATTTATTTCTGTGTGTTAAGTATAATCTTATTTAGTGCAGTGATGATTTAGTAGAGTCTGATTGAACAAACAGAATCCTACGTATTTCAGGTGCAATTTAATCGTGTAAATTAAAAATAATCAGTACCAATCCAGTGAATATTTAAATTTATTTCCGTGTGTGTTCAGTTTAATCTTATTTAGCACGGAGTCTAACAGAAGCCTACTTATTTCAGGTGCAATTTATACGAGTTAATCAAAAAGAATCAGTACCAAGGATTCAGTTTAGGGCTGATCCGAAGATTTGCATTCTCCTTAGTCCAGTGCCTCCGACTCCTTCACCGAGAGAACATAATACATTGTGATCTTAAACCGGTAAGTAATTAAATTTTCTCATTGTTAAAAATGTATCTAAGAGACATGCGGTGAATATTTGAACAAAGAAAAATTGTAAAGTTGAAACATAACATAATAACTGAAAAACCAAACCATGTATACACAACAAAATGAATAATCGAACGAATACAAAAAAACAAAATTTATTTTTAAAAAAAATGCAAGGTTGTGATATTGAAAGGAGTTAATTTTAGTTAATTTGAAGTTAATTCAGTTAATTTGAAACAACGTGAGTCCTAGCGAATGCGGCGAAAACAAAGACTCCACAAATGCGTTATCGGGTATGAGTTGTAATGCGTTTCATAACGACCAGTAAAAATGTTAAGTGTACATCCGTCTTTTCGCGCTTTTACTGCAGAGATTAGGGGGGAAAAAGACTCTCTACAACAAACAATTCATTAGAAACTATACTCTGTTGCAAGCCATCATCCTTATGGACATATTGCACAAGCGCACGCCAAATGGATGCCAAGCTCCCAGCGAGAACGAATATTAACATCGCCAATTCTCATTTAAAGAACGAATAATAAATATTGTTTCTTGCAGACGATTTTCTTCTACAGAGAAACAAAAGTAAAAATTCTTTATCTGGCATTTGATTTGATAAGGGCATGCCAGCACAGCATAAGACGCGCCATTTTTAGTGGTCCAATCAAATCCAATGCTCTTGCAACGTCATATAATTGTTTCTTTTTTAAGAACGAATGCTGTCCTTATTTATCGAAATATGTCAGTAAGTCTAAGATTCCAGTAAGACTACGAAACTATAACCGTTTCTAAATATTTCTATGATATATATTGTAAATGATAGCACGAATTAAATTTCTGTCTGACTGTTAAACTTTTAAAAGCTTTTATATTGTTTTGAAAGCATACTTACATAATTTGATAATGAAATAAAATGGAACTATATGCAGTCGCGGATGGTTACTTAAATCCTATATCGCAAAGAACTTTTCTTCACTAGCAACGGAGTATAAAAGCTATTAACTGTTTCACTATCGCCCTGAAATTAAAACAGTAAGTAAGACACAAATAAATCTGAGAGTGAATGAGAAAAACAATCAATCAGCTAATCAGTGAAGAGCGTATTAACGAATCACCAAATAAATGAATGAGTGAGTGAATAAATCTTCCATTTTGAAAATCAAAGAAATTCTATGAATTAGTGTATCAATGTATGAATATTGAAACATTAATGAAAGATAAGAAAAAACATTGCTTAAGATGTCAATGTGAACAATGAAACAACTGTCCGGTCAATATAGTGAACAGAAATAAATATTCTGAATTACTTTTGTTTGAATGGTTAGATTTTGACGTACTAAGTGTCATTTTTAATGGATTGAGGGGGTTACTTTAAATATGTTAATTAATTAATGCTAGTTATCTCTTAAGACGTACTTTTTCCCAATTAATGCATATATTTTTTACATATTAAGATTTCAAAATATGAAAAGATTTCAAAATATGACCTTCTTCAAAATAAGAAAAGATTTCAAAATATGAAAAGATTTCATAATATGACCTTCAAAATAAGAAAAGATTTCAAAATATGACCAAAGATTTCAAAATATGACCTTCAAAATATGAAAAGCAGCAGCCTGGTAATTACGGTTCGAATATTTATTTTAGTCAAAAGAGCGTATGAAAGCTTAGTCCCCTTCATGTTTATTTCACTATTTGCGTTTTTGGTCACATCTTTAAAACTAATTTAACAATCTAAGAAACTCTGCAGTAATTTATAAAAGTTTACCCAAATATAATTTCAGGAGAAAAGAAATTTTTAATATTCATTTATTATTTTTTTATATAATTGAATGGTCTAAGAAGGAATTTGAATTATGAAGCATAAATTTTTTGTGAATCAAAAATTTTCAAAGAAGTGCAGATTCGGTACAAAGATTGCGAAAAAGGTTGCGAAAGGAAAGATTTCCTCGAATCTTATTTTGAAATTTATCATACTAAATTTCATTTCTAATGAATGTTATAATAGTATTTGGTGAATTAAATTGGTATATACATTTTGCCTTTGCATTTCGCAAAATAAACTATACTTTAACCAAGATAAATTTTAAGTTTTTGCTTCCATATGGTTATTCTTCAATTTCCAGCTCCCAACAGCCCTTTTTTATGATCTTGTCTCGTATACAAAATTTTTATTGCTTTCACTATATTATCTATTTAAATATGCAATAATTATGCTTCGCAATTTTTGAACCCATTTTGGTTGCAATGAGAAGGTTATCACAATTTCTACAGAAATAATTAACATAATTTTTTTCCTGAAATTCGTTATAAGGAGACAAGAATGCTCCAATGAACCATTTCAGAAATTCTGTTAATTCCAGAAATGAATTTTTCTGACTGACATATTCTATTGCTTAAAAGCTAAAACGAGAAACAAGTTCAAGTATCATTTATTTAAAACATATCGGTATGAATTATGCCACAGTTTTTACAGTGTAATTTTTAAGCATTTGTGTGAAAAAAGAAATGTTCTCTTTTCAAAAGGAAAACATTCTGTTGAAGAGTCGTGGAAGTAGCTCCATCAAGGTGATAGACTTCGGTAGCTCCTGCTTTAGTCATCAAAGGGTCTATACCTACATTCAATCTAGATTCTACAGGTCACCCGAAGTAAGTTTTCTTTTTTCTTTCTTCTTCACTATCTATTAAAAATTAAACTTTTATAAGTTAGTTAAATGATTAACAGATGAATGAATATGTAAGCAAAGGAAGAAATGGTGTCGGGACATTTTTATTCTCAATTCATTGTTATTAATTTATATGAGGAATTCACAGCAATACTACTGAGATAAGAATATGTAGCAGACATGAATGAGGAACACACATAAATGAATAAGTAATGCAAAAGAAAAAAGGGTGTCGGGACATTTTTATTATCAATTCATTGTTATTAATTTATATGAGGAATTCGCAGCAATACTACTGAGACAGGAATATGAAGCAGACATGAATGGGGAACACACATAAATGAATAAGTAAGCAAAAGAAAAAAGGGTGTCGGGATATTTTCTTTTTTTTTTATCAATTCATTGTTATTAATTTAAATGAGGAATTCACAGCAATAATTCTGAGGCATGAATATGAAGCAGACATGAATGGAGAACTGATAATAATAATTTGCTTTCCTAAAATGGCTTATTTGAACATGTTTCCCCTATTTCAATGGTAGGTTATATAGGTTAGTTAAAGGATACACAAATGAATGGATATGTAAGCAAAGGAGAAAAAAGGATGTCGAGACATTTTATTATAAATTCATTGCGATTATTTTAGATGAGGAATTCACAGCAGTACTTCTGAGGCATGCATATGAAGCAGGCATGAATGGAGAACTGATAATAATAATTTCCTTTCTTAAAATGGTTTATTTGAACATGTTTCCCCATTTTAATAGTAGGTTATATAGGTAAGTTAAAGGATACAAAGATGAATAAATAAGCTAGCAAAGGGAAAAAAATGGTGTCGGGACATTTTTATTATCAATTCATTGTTATTAATTTATATGAAGAATTTACAGCAATACTTCTGAGGCATGAATATGAAGCAGACATGAATGAGGAACACTACCTGATGATAATAATTTCCTTTCTTAAAATGGTTTATTTGAACATGTTTTCCCCATTTTAATGGTAGGTTATATAGGTTAGTTGAAGGATACACAGAAAAATGAATAAGTAAGCAAAATTAAAAAAAGGGTGTCGGATATTTTTATTTTTCTAATTCATTGTTATTAATTTAAATGAGGAATTCTCAGCAATATTTCTGCGGCATGAATATAAAGCAGATGTGAATAGGAAGCTGATAATAATAATTTCCTTTCGTAAAATGGTTTATTTGAACATGTTTCCCCCATTTTAATGCAAGATCCTCGCTATTTTAAGAGTATCTGAAATATATTTAAGGGAATTCTTTTTCTTTCCATTTGTGGTAAAACCATAAATCGAAAAATGAATATTGATCTTCCAAAACAGGATGCAGGACTGTTTTCTTCCTCTTGAGGATAACAGTTCCAACAAATATATTCTTTAAAATTGTTCCGATACCAAAAAACGAAACAATCATTGAACTGAAATATTGTATCTATTCCAGTTACGCGTCCTTACAACTTGATGCTATAGTTCGTTCGACTTGAATTTGAACACGGTTAAACTTATTAAGGCTGCATTTTATGATTCTGCGCTTTTTTGAAAGGATTCTTTTTCCACTTTAGGTAATCCTGGGTCTCCCCTATGGTCCCCCGATCGACATGTGGAGCCTAGGCTGCATCCTGGCCGAGCTCTACACTGGCTATCCATTATTTCCGGGTGAAAACGAGGCTGATCAGTTGGCATGTATCATGGAAATCTTCGGTCCGCCTCCACCTTCCGTCCTAGACGCTGCATCACGACGGCGGCTCTTCTTTGGTAATTATCCTCTCGTATTAAGTTAACACAAAATATTCCATAAATGATGGCATTTATTTCAGTCAAATGTATGACGCTGCATCACGACGGCGGCTCTTCTTTGGTAATTATTCACTACGGCGGCTCTTCTTTGGTAATTATCCTCTCGTATTAAGTTAACATAAAACATTCCATAAGTGATGGCATTTATTTCAGTCAAATGTATGACGCTGCATCACGACAGGGCTCTTCTTTAGTAATTATTCACTCATTTTAAGTTAACACAAAACATTCCATAAGCAATGGCATTTATAAGCGATGGCATTCAAATGTATGACGCTGCATCACGACGGCGGTTCTTCTTTGGTAATTATTCACTACGGCGGCTCTTCTTTGGTAACTATCCTCTCATATTAAGTTAACACAAACATTCCTTAAACATGCATTTCAAAACATACTGAAGGAATTTTTTTTTCGCTCCAGAATCACGGAAATCCGACAAGAAGTAATTTATGTTTATTTTATTAGAAAAAATTCGAAGGAATGGGGTGCACAACAAAATAAACAAGTTGAGACACTTCCGAGCAGGAAATGTGCCAAACTAAACTCACCACAACATTTAAATTAATCTGATTCTTTCGCTAAAATGTAAAGAAGGCGTTTGTCTTTAAGAAGTATAAAATATTGATTGGATATGAATGATAAAAAGAAAACTGTGTTTTGGGAGAAAAACAAAACAAAAATACTTCATTTTATTTCTTTGAAACAAATAAATTAAAACAAGGCAATATTTGATTAAAACTTCAAACAGCTCAATTTCAACAGCTTTAGCTTATCATTCTTCACCATGGAAGATGTCGGAAGTGTTGCTCATTTTGCGTTACCTGGTGGGCACCTTGTGACCAAAGTCGCGGAGATTAGCAATCCCAGAAAGCATGTAATCTTACAGCAGCCTTGTCTCGGAATTTTCTTCTTATTGTCACGGAAAATATTTGTATTAAAGACCTTGTTTCAATAAGGCAAAAATATTGAAGTTTCAAACGGAGGCAATATTCATCCTAAAAGGAATAAAAATTATTTTTCAAAGCTTTTTTTTTAAGAAGCATTGTCACTTAGGTAAAATGGTCACTTAGGTCCATAATAACATTTAAGCTGACGTCAAACTAACGATAGGATCAAATTGCATTGTCAGTTAAAATTTCATGGCAAGGGGGATTTTAGCTCAGCATGCAAAACGTTGCGAAAAGAAACCTTATAATTACCTAGATACACGATTATTTTCACCTTAAGACTAGCTTTATTAAAGGATATTTTTCATGCTTGAAAACCCTAAGACAACTTCGATTTTTAGGTTTTTATATTGAAGGTTGTTTTCCAAGGTTTTGGATTAGAGTAATGTACGTAGAATAGAGCAGATTGTCAAAGATCTCATTTTAAGATTGCAAGGTTTGCACATAAACCGCATAAAAACCTTTTTAGGTTTACATTAAAAGGTTTTTGCTGAGTGAAAAGAAATCTTATTTTGCTATCTAGGAATATTACCCACGCCACACTGCCATAGATTCCCGTTCATAGGATGGGCCACATCATGCACAACAGAGGACAACACTCAGAGAGAAACATCCATGCCCTAAGCAGGATTAGAATTTGCAGACACGCTAATCACTCGGCGTCCTGGCCGGCGGTTGGAAAATTGAAGCTTCAAAAATATCGACTAAAATCAATGAAAAGTATGTTCTGGTGAACTTATTTTCGAAATGAATGCTTTCTGAGACGCGATGGCTCAGGGGATAGAGCGTTTGCCTTCCAATGAGGTGAGCCGGGTTCGAATTCCAACGATGGCTGGTTGATACGAATTCCACATCCGACTTGCACCGACCACAGTGCTGACATAAAATATACTCAGTGGTGGACGGATCATGGATTAGAGTCTTCTTGCCGTCTTGCTGACTGTGGGAGGTTTTAGTGGTTTTCCTCTCAATTTAACGCAAATGCTGGTTAGTTCCATCAAGAAATCCTCCACGAAGGCAAATTTCTCCCAGTACTTGATCCAGGAGTTCCCTTGTCTACCGGATTGGGTTCAAAATTACAAGGCTACGGAGTTGAGCATTAATAGTCGTAAATCCAAACAATTGGGTTGACTGTTCAATGACGGTTACAAAATAAAATAAAATAAAATGGTTGCTTTTATAATCATAAGATGTGCATTGCCAAAATACGAGTTTAATGTGTGTGTGTGTTTTCCCCTCAACAGATTCGAAAGGTGTTCCTCGAACATTAACGAATAGTAAAGGAAAGAAGAGGAAACCGAGTTCCAAGACTCTCGGAGTGGTTTTAGGTTGCAGTGATGAAGATTTTGTCAACTTCCTCACTGGATGTCTTAAGTATGCGTTTTCATTCATCGTCTTATCTTCTTTTTTTAATCATTGAAGAAAAAATAAATTTCACTCGATAAAAATTTCATTTATTACTTGAGACGTGCAAAATTTTGAAGCAAATGCTATATTTTTCAGGTGAGAACTTTTTTTTTAATTGTTAAAGAATTAAATAAGTAATTTTATAACATCCTTGTACAGTGCGCAAAGTAAATTAGAGACCATGNTATTACTCAATATTAGTTCTAAGAAACCAGGCCTTGAGCTAACAAACCAGTATTTTGTTGGCGTCAGCGGGACGTTGACGTCCCGCTGACGCCCAAATAACGTGCTTGTCCTAAGAAACCATACCCTTAGGTCCATAATGACGTTCTAGCTGACGTCACACTAGCGATAGGATCAAATTGCATTGTCTATTTAAATTTCATTACAAGGTGGAATTTAGCTGAGCATACAAGACGTTGTGAAAAGAAACCTTACAATCACCTAGATTTAAGATTATTTTCACCTTGAGACTAGCTTTATTCAAGGATTTTTTTCATGTTTGAAGACCCTAAGACAATCTCAATTTTTAGGTTTTTTTATAGAAGGTTGTTTTCCAAGGTTTTGGATTAGGGAAATGTGCGTGGAATAGAGCAAATTGTCATAGATCTCGTTTTAAGATTGGAAGGTTTACACGTAAACCGCATAAAAACCTTTTTAGGTTTTCATTAAAAGGTTTTTGCTGAGTGAAAATAAACCTTATTTTGCTATCTGGGAATATTACCCACGCCACACTGCCACAGATACCTGTTCATAGGGTGGGCCACATCACGCACAACAGGAGCAACACGCAGAGAGAAACATCCAAGCCCTGAGCAGGATTCGAATCTGCAGTCATGGGCTTCACAGACAGGCACGCTAACCAATCGGCCACCTGGCCGGAGGCTGGAAAATTGAAGCTTCAAAAATATCGACTAAAATCAATGAAAAGTATGTTCTGGTGAACTTATTTTCCAAATGAATGCATTTTGAGCCGCGATGGCTCAGAGGATAGAGCATTCGCCCTCCAATGAGGTGAACTGGGTTCGAATCCGAGCAATGGCTGGTTGATACGAATTCCACATCCGACTTGCACCGACCACAGTGCTGACGTAAAATATACTCAGTGGTAGACGGATCATGGATTAGAGTCTTCTTGCCGTCTTGCTGACCGTGGGAGGTTTTAGTGGTTTTCCTCTCAATTTAACGCAAATGCGGGTTAGTTCCCTCAAAAAGTCCTCCACGAAGGCAAATTTCTCCCAGTACTTGATCCAGGAGATCCCTTGTCTTTTGGATAGGGTTCAAAATTACAAGGCTACGGAGTTGAACATTAATAGTTATAAATCCAAACAATTGGGTTGACTGTTCAATGACGGTTACAAAATAAAATAAAATAAAATGAATGCTTTTATAATCATAAAATGTGCATTGCCAAAATGCGAGTTTAATGTGTGTGTGTGTTTTCCCCTCAACAGATTCGAAAGGTGTTCCTCGAACATTGACGAATAGTAAAGGAAAGAAGAGAAAACCGAGTTCCAAGACTCTCGGAGTGGTTTTAGGTTGCAGTGATGAAGATTTTGTCAACTTCCTCACTGGATGTCTTAAGTATGCGTTTTCATTCATCGTCTTATCTTCTTTTTTTAATCATTGAAGAAAAAATAAATTTCACTCGATAAAAATTTCATTTATTACTTGAGACGTGCAAAATTTTGAAGCAAATGCTATATTTTTCAGGTGAGAACTTTTTTTTTAATTGTTAAAGAATTAAATAAGTAATTTTATAACATCCTTGTACAGTGCGCAAAGTAAATTAGAGACCATGCTGAATAACTTTTGATCTAATGATCGGATCTTCACGTTCTAGGACTTATTTTTGATGGTTCGAATGGGTGGCCTGAAATATGTTAATTAATTAGCGCAGACGAGTTTTTTAAGTTACGAAATCAGACACAAAAACATTCTCTAAAAAAACATACCCTTTTTTTGACGGATTTAGATTTTTGACCCCCAAAATATAAGGTGTAGCCGCATTCTGAAAAATATGGTCCTAATAGTTTAGTCAGGAGAGCTGTCTAAAGATTGGATTGTTAATTTCGCGTCTTTTGCCGTATCTCAAGAAATTTCAAATCGAATTAATATAGTTTTGCACGCAATTATAAAATACGTTTATCCAAAGATAATTCAATGCAAAAAATAACTTTTAATAAATATTTATCATATTTTTTATTATATTTTTTTATTGATTTACTTAACATTAATTGCAAAAAATTTGAATTGAAGGAAATTTTGGATTTGAAATGCAATTTTTTAAATACAGTTTGAAATACAATTTCTCTTTAAAGAAGGTAATTTTACTTAGTGAAATACAAAAGTTCAGCAAAATTGGTTGAATTGTTACTGGGAAATCGAATTTTAAATATCTGGTGCTGCAGAATTATTCAGTGGCAAAAGGGTGATGAATAAAGAGGCCATTTAAGATTTTAAAAAAAAAATTAATACTAATAAACAGTTTGATAGTACAGAATAGAACTTTCCAATAAGCCATCCACTTCAATCCATTGCCTACCACACAAGTGATTACAGATTTATATGAACGATTGCAACGCCCTCTTTTGGTCAGGCAGAAATTCTTAACATCTGGCTTTTTTCAAATTTAATCTTAGGAGCTATTCAACCGAATTTGCTCACATTTTGTATTTTACCATGTAAAATTATATTTCTTAAAATGATGCAAAAATTTTATAGCTTAGTTCTCGAGGTATATCGAAATACACAAAAAGTAAAATTAACATTAAAGGTCCAAATTTCAGACAGCTCTTCTGACCAAACTATTGGGACCATATTTCCCAGACTGCGGCTACTCCCTATATTTTGGGAGTAGAAATCAAAATCTGTATGGAAAAAAAGTTAAATTATCGTTTGCACTTATTAATTAGCATATTTGAAGTCACCCTCTCGTGCCATTACGATCGAGTCCTAGCACGTCAAAATCCGATCATTAGGATCAAAAGTTATTCAGGGTGGTCCGTTTTCTATTTTGAAATTTATTTCGTTATTTATTTGAAAATTGAAACGAAAATAGAACATATTAAGTGTTCTTTTTTCGTTTCAATTTTTTTAGTGCTCCTCACACTATTGTATAGATAGATTTCGCTTTAGCTATATTATTACAATACAAGAAAGCACCCCTTTTTTCGGATATAATCGTGTGAGCTGATGAAGAAATTATATATTTTCATTATCTTGTTTCCCGGCTTTTTAATAATTTTTTCAATTGTTCCTAAAAATACTTTTTTTAGTAATTTTTTTCTTCTCTTTTCATTAATTTTTTNTATATATATCCTCATTTCTCTAAAAAAAATCTGACTTCATATGTGTAGTAGATATCAAAACGAAGCCTTAAAAATACAGTAAATCAAAAAATCCTACTACATTTAAACTCTTGATTTAATAATTAATTGTAAATACCCCACTGAACTATAAATAAAATGCAAATATCCCACCAAAACTTATATGGAACTCGATAGGCAATCATCTTCATGTAGTGAGTACCTGGATTTTTCGCAACTAACAAATGAGTAATGACATGCACAGTAAAAATTATGTGAATTTCATAAACTTTTTTTTTCTAAAATGCTCCGTGAACGCTTTTTTTTCCGATGCCCACCGGGAGAATGACCTCTCGTCATACAGGCATTTGAAGGACAGATTTGTTGGTCACTCTTTCAGGGTTGGCTACTCTTTCATATTAGGTGGGCTAACGTTGTCCCCACAGTAAGGACAGATGGTACAGAGAAGGAAAGAACATCCATGCCTTACCCTGGATTCGAATCCAGAACCTTTCTAATGCAAGGCTAGACCTCTACACAGGCTGGTCGGTTGTTGAGTGACCGTAAAATTTCGTATTATTGGTCAGAATTTAAATTAGTTAGGTGATTTAAGCAACTAAGCAAACATAACAAATGAAACCGTGTGAATTTTAAAAGTTCAAGCCGACTTGAAATGTTGGGATTTTTTTTCTTCAAGTTTTCATTTTAAGTACGATACGCAAGTAGGGGACAATAACCAATCTCAAAATTTCTTATGTCATTTGTAATTATTATTACAATCGGAATAGCAAAGCATTCCCGAATTTTAAAAAAAAATTTCCAACTCACTCTTAGTTTGAAAATAGTGTTTTTCTATCAATCGATATTTCTATCAATCGAAATTTCTATCAATCGATATAGTCTAACCAAGTGGTTTGTTGTAGCTGGGATCCCGAGAAGAGGATGAAACCGGAAGAGAGCCATCGACACCGGTGGTTGTCCGGTAACCGAGGTCCTGCACACAGCAGGAGGCCATCTACAGCATCTTCCATAGTTTCCTCAAAGGAGGTGGGCAGAGAGAAACAACGGAAAAACAGCTCTCGTCAGAATGGGGACGCTACCACTACCAACAAGAAGACACCTCCTCGCAAAAGTAAATCGATTCTTTAATTAAAACTAGAAATACTGAAACTTAGTATATACCTATGTTGCCCAAAAGCAGTCGAAATGACTGCATTGTGAAAGAATAACTAATGTGCAAAGAAATTTGTTTAATTCATTTATAATATTTTTTATATTACTTACAGTTATATAACAAGTTATTAGTAAATATTAACAATAAAAAAGATTTACTTCACTTGGAAAGAAAATATTAATTTATGCATTATTATTTGTACATTTTTTTGCAAATGATGAAGTAGTTAAAAAGCAGTCAAAATGACTTCCTTTAGGCAACCTAGTGTTTAGAAAAGCTTCAGATCTTGAATTAGTGAAGGTATTTATAGGCGTGTGAAGAATAAAACTAATTTTTTGAACTAGGAAACCTAAATTTAAATCAAGCGAGCTAAGAAAATTATTGTTGAAATTTAGGATTATTTATTAAAAGGAACTGACTGACAATAAAATTAAATCTGAGCCCATTAGAATTGTGCTGCTTATGATCTCTCTAATTAGTTGGAAATCGATTGATTTATCATAAATTTCTTTTGGCAATAAAATGGCGTTAAACTGTGTTAGTAGCTGTCAGGAAAAGATTAAAACTTGAATTGTTATCGTTTACTACAGAGCTCCAGTAAACATTTGAGTTCTTTAGTTGATGTTGTAGTTGTAGTTCATTTACGTCGCACTAGAGCTGCCCAATTGGCTATTGGCGACTGTCTGGGAAACGTCCCTGAGGATGATCTGAAGACATGCCATCACAATTTTGATCCTCTACAGAGGGGATGGCACTCCCGCTTCGGTAGCCCGACGACCTGCACCCGAAGTCGAGAACTTTACGGTAGAGCAGTTGAACGAGGACCAATACTGCACACTCTCAGTCTCTACGCAGACTAATCCAAGTGGTTACCCACCCGCACGCTTGACCGCATCTAGTGATGCTTGACTTCGGTGATCTGCTGGGAGCCGTGTCATAACGATCAGTCCACTGCGGGACTGAGTTCTTTAGCTTCTTGGAAATCGTTAAATGTGTGAGTTGCGAGGAAAACCCGATTTTAGATACTTGATGATTTAAGATTTAATTCTGTTAAACAAATCTTGAATACCCGAAACTAACTATAGATATATTTGATAAATTTAACTTATAATATGCGTTCTATAACAGACGTGACATCGCTACAGATAACCAAAAACTCTCAAAAACTTCAAAGTAAATATAAAATGTTGTGATATTCATGGTAAAAGAGTTATTTTTTTTTTGTTCACAGACACGTGACCTACACTTTGAGCATTTTAATTGCACGATGAGTACATTAAAACTATTTTGTTTTGAATGCTAAAGATGCTTTGTAAAATAACAATTTTGGATATTATATTAGCTCATTTATATCTTTTATATCCTACGCGAATTCGCTGTAACCATAGTTGGAGTTTTTGAAGCTAGCTTCAAGATGTTCTGAAACTAACTTTCGAAAACAGGCAAAAAAGTTTTATCTGTTTTAACCTTATGTTAAAAATTGAAATATTCTATTCTTCGCTTTTTTGTTATAAATAAACAATTGACGAAATTTTTAAAGCTAGGAATTGAAATTTCACGTATTTTTTTAAATTTAGTATATATATATATATATATATTCTAAAGATTGGATTGTTAATTT